AGGGGCGTGGCCCTTCAGCAGAGCCATGACCAGGCTCTGGGCATTCAGTGCCACCTCCCCCGTCCTGCCCTAACATGAAGCTGCCTCTCCTGATGACAGCCTGGTGCCCAGCCCCTCAGAGCGGAGGGAGGGGCCCACCACTGGGCAGAACTGAGCTGTTTGTACAGCAGCTCTTCAGAATCTATATCAAAGACAAGAATCCCATCTGTAAACAGTGCTAAGGTCTCACAAGGGAGGGAGGCCTTTCTTCTCAGTAAGAAAAAAATCCACATGTTCTAGGGGAGCAAAGAAAGTGGGGTGGGGGGACGGGTCCAGTTCTCTAGTCAGTGGGTGGGTTTCCTGGGCCTGGCCCTCTGCCGACCCCGCCCCCACACCCACTGCCAGCTGTCCCAATTTGGGCCCCCCGGGGGCCCTCAGTCCAGCTTAGGGCATTTAGGACTCAGGAGCTCTCTGCCTTCACTCTTGGAGCCTTTCTCTTGATCCCCTCTACCTTCTCATATGCTAAGCCCAAACCTAGTTCTTCATGCTGGCCTGGAGAGGGGGGCTGCTCTTCCCCCAAGGTGGCATCATGACTTTAGACTGAGCCTCCCAGCCCCCGAATACAGGCATACCTCGGAGATAACTGCAGGTTCTGCTGCAGACCACCACAGTCAAGCAAATATGGCGATAAAGCAAGTCACACAGACTTTTTTGTTTCCCAGTGCACACAGAAGTTATATTTAGACTGTACTGAAATCTATTAAGTGTGCAGTTGCATTATGTCTGAAGAGACAATGTACATAATTTAAATACTTTATTTCTAAAAAGTGCTAACCATCATCTGAGCCTTGAGCGAGTCACGATCTTCTTGCTGGTAGAGGATCTTGCCTCGATGCTGATGGCTGCTGAAGGCTGGGGTGGCTGCGGCAGTTTCTTAAAATAGGACCCCCGTGAAGTCTGCCCCATCCGCTGACTCCTCCTTTCATGGAAGATTTCTCGGCAGCATGCGCTGCTGTCTGATGGCATTTCACCCACAGTGGAACCCTGCCGCTGCCATGTCAACTAAGTTTAGGTCATGTTCTCCAGGACTGTGGTGTCCCAGGAAGTAGGGAGGCCCAAGGAGAGGGACAGATGGGGGATGGCTAGTCCGAGCACACACATTCGTTGGTTAAGTTCATTGTCTTACATGAGCCCTGTCTGTGACACCCCGAGACAATTACAGTAGTAACGTCAAAGAGCTGCAATCACAGGCCACGTAAGAGATACAATAATGATGAAAAAGTTTGAGATACTGGGAGAATTACCAAAGCGTGACCCAGAGACACAATGTGAGCATGTGCTGTTGGAAAAATGGCGCCAATAGAATTGCTCGATGCAGGGTCGCCACAACCTTCACTCTGTGAAAAATGCACTCTCTCTCTCTACGAGGCACAATGCAGCAAGTGCTGCAAGCTAAGGTATGCCTGTATGAGCCGGAAACTGATCCCCGCTGCTTCCAAAGTGCAGGCCAAGTAGGTCCGGGAGCCCAGCTAGCTGGCCTCGAGAGGGGCATCCAAGCAAGACAGGTGCGGCAAGTGTGGGCCTCACCCCGCTTTGCTTCAGTGTGATGCACCAGCACACCAGCAGGGTGGATCAGGAACCCTTCGAGAAGCTCTGGGGCCTCGTCTGTCCAGAGATGCTCACCAGCCTTCGAAGTAGGAGAGCTTTTCTTCTGAGTTACCAGTGCTAGGTGCAGATTCCCAACTGTGGCTCCTAAACACTCTCTAGGACTATTTCCTTTTCTCTCAGGGTCACTAAGAATTCCTCCAGTGCCTGGAAGCCCCAGCTAACCCTTCCCTTCCACCACTGGTGTCTCCAGAGCCCCCGCGTGCCCCTCCTCTGCCCACATGCCCTCTGCATCCAAGGTGGGTGAGCACTAGCTCTGCCTGGCCCAGCCTGCCCTCCCAGCCCAGGAGCTGACCACTCCTGCTAAGCCAAGGTTTGGCCACCCTGGTTTCCTGGAACAGAGCTGGATAATTACTGACCTCTGGTGTGGACCCAAACCACATCCTGTGGCTCCCCTCCCTCTTCAGCTCAGCTCCAGGCCAAGGAGACGCCCCAGGGCCGCCCTTCTCTTCTGACATTGACCAGGAGGCACTGAGGGCTGAGGAGTAGTAGTCAGTGCGCCCGAGATCCCGGAGCTAGCTAATGGCCACACTTGAAGCAGAGCCTCCTGGCCCTTCTCATCCCTCTGGGTGGTCCCTCTGGCCCTGGGACTCCCACAGCCTTCCTCTGATCTGCTCCCAATTCAGGATGTCATAGAGGGCAGACCCAGGCCACAGCTGCCCAAATGTCCTTTCCATGGTCTAAGGCCCCATGGGCCTTCGAAGTTTAGATGGAGCCATTATGAGAAAGCCCCCACTGTGGCACCCACAGATCCACTCATGCTTCAGAGCTTCCCTGTGTTCCAGAGGCCCTGAGTAAGAGTCCTGCTTCCTTCCCCAGCTCCCAAGGACCACCTGGAGATAATTCCAGGAGATAACTGGAGAACCCCTTCCTCCCAGGTCTGGGAGACAAAGCTAAGGCATCATCATGACCCTCTGGAGCCCAGCCAGTGCCCCAGGATCAGGATGTGATTGCTTGTACCTGGGCAAGGTACAGCAACCTACCCTGACCCCTGTAGTCTGACCTCCAGGAGTAACAGCTAATCCTGAGCAGCTCCCAGGCCGAGCCCTCTGGGCCCTTCTTTAAAGCTCTGTGAGCTTCCCAATCTTAGCGGCCCTCCTCATTGCTGTCTTCTAGGGGCTCTGCCCGACAAGGGGGACCTGATGCATGACCCAGCCATGGATGAGGAGTTGGAGAGATTGTAAGTGTCAGTGCCTGGGGGGAGGGGGTTTCTGGGGGTAGAGGCTCAGTCCTTCTCCTTATTGTAGCAACCTATCCGCCTCTCCTTCGCCTCGCTGGCAACAGGCGGCCATCAAGGCTTTGAGGAGTCCGAGGTCGACTGGGGGCCTGGGGTCCAGGGACCATCCCTTCGGGTCCTCCTGGGGAGGGGATCCAGACCCTTTCCCAGGGCCAGAAGGCACCTTGCCCCCCTTAGGCCTTCTTCCTTCCTCCAGGATGGCCCAGGTACCAGGGCTCCTCACCACTACCACCTCTGGCACAGAGAGTGGCTGTCCACGGACCTCTCCCCGTTTGGGGTCCCCCTGGAGACCCCTCCACCATTCCCGAAAAGTGGATGCAGAGAGTGATGGCTCCACCGAAGAGACGGAGGAGTCCGAGACCTGAGAGGCCCTGGAGGACCCGGCACCCCCTGCACAAACATTCCCCCGATCCTTGCACTGCTAGAGGCTCCAGGTCCCTCCCAGCTTCCCTTGCTCTTCAGACTCAGCAGCTGGGCACTTAGGACAAGCCCTCCCCAGCTCTCCCTCCTCTCAACACCTGTCATATACTGCCCTCTGCTGGTATGCACGGTGTAGGATGGCAGCGCCCACAACCGAGCCACCCTCAGCCTGGTGCTGACAACCTTCGAGGCCCTGGCTTGGCAGCAGATGGGCCCGAAACCATCTGCTGATGGGGAGCAGTACCCTGGGCCCCACACCCTCACCGAGCTCACACCCGACTTCTTGGGGAAGATAGTGCTGTCATCCCGATTGCATGAGGGGCTGACCCAGGCCTTGATGGGCCCTAGAGGCCAGAGTAGGGCATGAACATCCTGAGGTGCCACGCTCCATTCCACAGTAAATACCACAAGTGGTGGGATGAGAAGGGGCGGGAAGGATGGCAATTTCATTCTCTAAAAAACTGTCTCTACTCTTGTTGTCTTAATCTGTGTAGTGAAATACGTGAAATAATAAAAGTCCCTTGTGTCCAGTAGATGATGAGTCTGAGGCCATTGGGATGGAGGGCGGGCCGGGAGAAGGCTCGGGCTGCCAGGAGGTGGCAGACGAGGCCTGCAGAGCCCAGACCAGACGTTGGAAGGCCATCAGGGGCTTTCAGTCCAATTTTCTCCGTGGGGCTTGGAGGGGAGGGGGCCCTCCTGGAAACTGAGACCCAGAGACCCTGTGGCTTGTCTCGTGTCGCACAGCTGGTTACAGCGGTCAACACGCCCTGTCTGCACCCTTGGAGCCACTCCCACAAGAGGCGGGAGACCTCAGAAAATTTCCCCTCCACCTCAGGGAACAGTCTAGTGAAGCAATCCCAGCCAGCCATAAAAAAGATGTGCAATGAGCAGGCGGCCACCGCTTTCCTTAGAGTGGAATGGGGGGCCTGGAGAGTGGAAGAGAAGGAAGCTGAACCGAGGGCCAGCGCCAGCAACCCACATGGCCTCAGCCCACCAAGCTGAGCGATGGCAGCTGTTCCCAGCTTGCCTCCTGGAAGCTGAGGCAGGCCCTGTCCCCCTGAGTGCCTGGATGCAGAGAACGGGGCCACTCTCACTGCCCAGGCTGCCTACCTTTGCCCCAACTCCTTCTAGCTATCTCCCTGGCTGTCTGCACACACCTCATAGGTCTGTAGATTAAGAAACACTTGGCTAAGCACACTCTCCACCCCAGCACCATTCATTTCCTCCAAAATTTCTGCACGGGAACACAGTTGAGACCATCCACATGTCTCATCAGACAGCTCCGTATCGCCCCCTTTCCTCTGCCAGACCATCTCCTGGAAACCTCAGGCACTCCGGTGTGGTTCTGGGCCTCCTGGGCCATCTGCTATAGCGTCCACCTCCCTCACCCATCCCTAGCTATGGAACACCAGCCCCGCTCACCGTAACTCTGCCGGTACGCTGAGAAGTCGACTAATGCCAGCTCTTTCCTCTACATGCCACAGGGTGGTGAGGTCGAGGCTGCACAGAACCTCCCAGAAGCACAGGTCCCATCAGGCAGTGGCTTTCGGTTTTCGGAGGAGTGACAAGGTGGAGGCCCTGGAGAGTTTACCCTCCACTTCTACACAGATGCCCTACTCATGTCGGTGGGAATCCAGAGAGTGAGGCACTGGTGGCATCCCGAGGGGGGGGGGTCGGGAGACAGGACTCAGCGACACTGTTTCAGCTCTGACCAAAGCAGGGCCCTGGGCCCAGCTTGAGATTTATTGACACCACTTTTTTTCCAAATAATACAAATAGTCCATAAAGCAAGTCATGTCCCTTTGGGGGAAAGTGGGAAGGAAAGAGGAGAGTATCCCATGGTGCTGAGCAGCTCCATGGCCCTCTGTGGCCAGGCACAGTGATCACAGAGCAGTGGCACAGTCCACACCATTAAGTGCCAGCTGGGCAGAGAACTGCAGCCTCCCAGCCCACAAGGGGAAAGCAGAGCTCACCCAAGAAGCCTGCTCCCCTTCCCCAGCTCTCCCACTGCTCCCAGCAGCATCTAGACGGTGGGGGGAGAGCTCAGGGGAACCCAGACCGTACCTGCCCCAGACTTGGGGACCACAGCTCAGACCCACGGAAAGGAACCAAGAAGTGGCCGTGCTGTGGGGCTTTGTGGTATCCAAAGCACATAGGACAGCGCCTGGCCAAGACCCCAGGCCCTGAGGTTCCGAAGCAGGAGGAACCGCTGACCCTGGCCCCAGACACACCCCAGCCAAGGAGGGAAGAGGAAGGGCCGTGGCCTCCCTCCACTTTGAAGGCAGAAGTGATTAGTGCAAATAGGGGTGGGGTGCAGGAGAGAAATCACAAGGGCCTCCACTCTGGCTCAAAACTGAGCACTTTTAGACAACGGGATCCAGTTGCTAGCCCTTATGTACAGCTCAAAGTGAGGTCTCTCCCCTCCCAGCACCCCTGGGTGCAGCCCATTTCCTAGAGGCTGGCGCTAGCCTGGGCCTCTGTCCAAGCTGGCCTCCCTCCCCTCCCTCCCTCGGGAGCCCAGACCGAAAAGGGATGTAGCCGAATATTCCCTCTGGGCTCGAGGATGGCAAGTCAGACCAAAGGGACACTAAAAAGGCCTCGAGACCCTCGGACCTTTTCTTTCAGAGGGCAGGGGAGGCAGGGAAGAGAATGAAGACCAGCCCGGTTCGGGGAGACACTAAGAGAATTCTCTCCCTCCCCAGCACAGCGAGTCGTGGGGGAGCAGCAGCTGTGATGGCGGGAGGGAGGGCAGGAAGGAAGGGGACACTGACCTAGCACCCAGGAGGTGAGGGTTTGAAAGGAAAGGGCTAGGGGGGAGGGGGCAGGAAGGGAGAAGGGGGCTGGTGTTTGCCCATTCCCCTCACCCAGCATTCCCAAGGCCACCCTACTGGTGCTGGCATGTACACGAGAACACGCACACACGCATGCCCACGTGCTCACACACATACTCACACTCTCACACACATCCCCACACTCTCACACACATCCCCCACAACTACCACGGGGCTAGCATCCCTGCTTAAGGGAACACAAGTTTCTCTCGCCGCCGCCGCCGCCACTACCACCACCACGACAAGCCGCCATGGGCCCTGGGTCAGTAGGAGCCGTAACGATCCTGGTGAGAGCGAAACATCAGCTCAGGGAGCAGCATCAGACACAGGGTGTCGGCCAGGGCAGAGTCAGGGTAGGAGGGCAAGGAAAACAGACAACAGCCTGCTCGGGCCGCTTCCCCTTGATTTCTGCCCATCCCAGGTGGCCAACCTAGGCCGGATATCTCCCTGTCTCACCCCAAGGAGAAAGGCCTCCTGATTTCATTCAAGCTGGCATGGAGGAGGGCTGCCAAAGCGATGCAGGGACAAAGCAAGGATGCACTCTGGCATCTTTCTTGGCAGGAAGTATGGGTAGCCTAGGAGTGGGGCCGACATCCAAGGGACCGTGACGTCTGCCCTTCTTCCTTCTCCCCACACATAAACGAGGGCTCCTGGGGGACGGCTAGTGGTCCTGTGACTTAGGGGAGGCAGAGGAGGACCAAGCCCCTCCAGCACGGGGCCTGGCACGCTGGGCCCAGAGCTCACCTGTAGAGAATTCATGACTCCGTTAGCCAGGACAGCCATCTTCCCAGCCACAGACTTCACTCCTTGTTTGAACTGGGCAATGTCTGCTGCAGGGAGCACATTCCCCAGAGACACCCCCGCTGTGGGAAGAAAGCAAGGGGGTGAGCCAGGGACCTGCAAAGCACTCCCCCAGCTCTGGCCATGGGCGGCCTCTCACCTGCTCCGTGGGCTCCGTCTGCCTCCCCAAAGAGGTCTGCAGAACTGATGGCGTTGCTGCCTGAGAGGTGCTGCAGCCGAGCCCGGGCTTCATACTGTGGGAATGGGAAGGAAGAGGCAGTGATCACAACGGGAGGAGCCCAAGGCCACCAGGCTGAGACACAGCCCACAGCACTGGCTCACACACCTCGGCATCGATTTCCCTCCCAAAGAACATGTCGGATGAGATGGCTTTGGCTCCTGCAAACTTCTGACGGGCTTCGTTAGATTCCACAGCTGAGGGCCGGCTCTCGACCTCTCTCCGGTTTGTGGGTCTGAGGGGGATACGGAAGCAACACCCCTGAGGCTTCCTGTGACCTTCCTCTATAGAAAGCATAGGAACATGGGCCCCGCTAGGGAGTACAATTTTCCCCGGGTCAGGGAAGGACCTGAGATCATTTGTCAGGCCAGGTAAAGAACCACGAACGACACTACACAATTTGGATCCTTCCACTGAGGCCAGGAAGTAACCGAGAAAGAGGCTCACACTCCTCATCCTGTTAGTCCCCAGAGTCCTAGAGATCACTCTACCTTTCTGCGATAGGCCGGATACTAGAGATTGTCACCTCTGGCTCCTTCTCCTCCATCCTGTCCATACTCCAGGAGGCATCTGTGTCCCAGCGAGAAGCAAAGCCATCTCCCAGAGAAAAGGGGTTATCCTTATACCTGGGGTGGGGGGAAGCAGAGGTCCTCAGATGAACCCATGGCACAGCCTGAGGAGGACGCCCATCACCCCTCCACAACTGCTCTTACTTAGGGGGTCCGGAAGCAAAGCTACCCGTGTCATCGAAAAGGTCCAGCTGGGACCGGGAGGACTTGGCATTCACTGGCGTTTCCTGCTCGATCACCTGCATCTCCGATAGCACCGAATGAGAGACGGAGCTGGGAAGGGAACCAGAATGAGGGAGCCCAGGATCAGCCCACGAGGGACATGGCCACCACTCACAGGATGGGCTTCCTCTTACAGTCCTCATCCCAGCCCTCAGCTTCTTGAGCGTTCATGGTGTGGGGGCACCCACTGCATAAAGCCACCAGGATGCGTGTTCCCTGCCAAGCTGAGATGTCCCCTAGTACCCCAACCTGCAGATGGTGAATGCAGTACTCCACCTTGATGAGGTCTGACCCAAACTGTCCAGACCTGCAGAGACCGCTAATGAGCTCACACCAGCACATGCTGATGCGGAAGGAATCTTAGAGATCTAGTCTAGCTCCCATCAGCTGGCAACGAGGGAAAACTGAGGTCAAAGAAGGGACCTACTCCAGGTCACTCACCAAGATTTGCACCCAGAGCCTGTGCTGTGGCATTCCTGCCCCAACTCTAGGGCCCCGCTAAACTGCTTATATTCCTTGATGTATAGGCCCAGCTCAAACACCCCCCCTTTCCCCAAGGGAGCCCCACCTTCGGGACACCAGGCCCATGCCCAGGCGCTCCGCCTGCTCCCGCTTCTGCCCCTCCAGGCTCTGTAGCTTCTTCTCTTCTTTCTTGCGGTCGATTTGCAATTCTTGGTAGGCCAGGCGCATGGAAGCGACCCTGGGAGAGGAAGGCCAGGTCAGTAACCATCCTCCGCGCAGCCCCAGGTTCTCAGGAGCAAGGCCATTAGGCCCCTCGCAAGGCTCTGGGAGGTCAGAGGGCAGGGACCCAGGCAGAGCCACCCCACGCCCCCTGGGGCACTCACACCGACTCCTCAGCCTGCTTCTTGGCCTCGGCTGCCTGCTGCTCCCGAAGCTTCTCGGCCACCTGGGCTTGTCGCTCAATCTCACTGAAGCTCTGGCTGCTCACCTTCTGGGCGCCCAGCCCCTTCTTGGCACCCAACTAGAAGAGAGTCTGAGGTGACCCGAGGCCTGCTGGGCAGGAAGCCACCCGCTTCCCCTCCAACCAGGGTGCCCTGGCCAGACCCAGAGTGGAGAGCTGAGCGTCACCTTCTTGGATCGGGGAACCTACCCCTCTCTTAGCTGTTGCCGGCTTCTTCTTGCCAATAATCGAGGATTTCAGTTCTGCCAGGAGAAATTGGAAAGGCGGGACCAAACACAATAGCAAAGTGGGCTCGGGCTCAGACCAGAGCATGCAACTTCACAGCAACCACCTTTGGAAATGTCAGCTTTGGGGAGGAAGGGCAAAAGCTGCACCCCAAGACACCCTTAACAACAGCACTGAGTCTAGCCCATGCGGAAAGAGATGAGCGAAGGTTACCAACTCCCAGCATCTCTGCCTCGCTCTACCACTCCTCAGGACAGTCACAGTCCCTGAACCAAGGCTAAGAGTAGCTAGGCTGGGCCAGGCGCCAACACCATCCTCAGCTCCCTGAGGCTGGAAGCTGGAATGCAGGGGTAGGGACAGCTTCCCATGGAGCCATTACCTCTGGCAGGAACAGACCCTTGGGCTGCCAGAAACATGGACTCTAGGAGAGACAGAGTTGAGGCTAACACAGGGTCCACTCCAGTGTTCCCAACTAGAGAGAGGCCTGCACTAGAGTGCCCCCAAACAGACCCCGACAGCCTGAAGGGCCTAGCTTTGGATGGAGAATAGCAGGGTGGAAATCCCTTTCCTGCAGCCATCAGATTGGTTTAAAGAATCCTGGCCTTCCTTCCCACCAAGTGTCAGCAGAATAAGCTGGGACCTGTGAAAGCCCCCACACCAAAGGAAATGGGGGCCTCACAGAACATCAGGTCATCCTAAGGAGACCCTAGAACTTAAAAGAGAGGGTAGGCTTGCAGATAACACATCATCGAACACACACAGTTTCCAGCAATGGAAACTGACTGGCTCACAAAGAAAGGAAGCAACAGCCCAAGAGGGCTGTGGATTCCCAGAGATTCCAAGAGAAACCCCAAGTATCTGGGCCTCCTGGCCTCAACATTTACCCAGCATGGGGGAGAAATGGTTAAGAGGCAGAGATTGAACTGGGACTCTGAGGTCAGAAAACCTGGGTACTGTGACTCAATATGCTTTTCCAACACCCACTTCCCACACCCCTCAAAAGGGCACAACTCACAAGATCTGGTGCTTATCTATCCTCAGTAGCTAGGAAGGGCTGGCTCTGAGATCTTTCAACATAGGCTACCATACTCAAGCCAGCCCTCAGAAGGGCCCAGATGCTCAGTACTCCACAGAAGAGAACCTGAGTCTTAGCCTCTTGGGCGCCCATGCTCATGCCCACGCCCATAAGGTGGCTCACTCACCCAGGGAGGTTTTGGGAGAAGTGCTGAGCAGGTCGGCCTTGGGGCCCTGCTTAGGTTCTGTGGACACAATGGCATCAATAAGACCCCCAACCCACTCATGCAGCCTCTTTTCTCTCCCCTTGCAGAAGATGGGCTGCTACTTGTCCCAAACTTCTGGGGTTACTACTAAAGGAAACAGAAAAAAGGTCCTCATGACTTTTAAAGACATATTACTAGTGAATTTTGGTCTGGAGCTGCCAACTCATAGGGACAGTTCCCCCCCAGCTCAGTATCCCTTTCAACCTCAATCTTTGCTGACCCCTAGCCCATTCTAACTGCTTCCAAAGGTGGGGTCCAGAGACAGTATTAGGGGGCCTTTGCATTCCTGGGGGCATTAGAGACACACAATCGTGGCACTCACGTCCGGGGACAGTGCTCTCCACGGGCTGGGATGGTGGCTGTTCAGAAACTTGAGGCTCGGAGGCTGGCACATCCCAGGCCGAAGGCTGAAAGGAAGGCCTAGTCACACAAGCTCTGCAAGGCCTGGCAATAACTTTTGAGGCCCTCCGAGTTTCAAAGCCCTGATCTAAGGTTCTTGAGGAAAACTGGGCCAAGGATTATAATTTGTGGAAGGAGGCAGGAAGACCTGTTTTGCAGACACTCTCATGGCTCCTTAAAGCAGAAAGCCCACTTCCCTGAAAAGATTATAGAGTCAGAGCCAGGAAAGACTTTGGAGGTCTTCTAGTTTAATCCACTTGTTTCACAAAGGAGGAAACTGAGGCCTACAGAGAGTAAAGCAGACTGACCCAACGGGACATTGCTGGGACTTGAACTCCCGTCGTGACTCTAAAAGACAATGCTTTTTCCCATCCTATTCATGGTGACAGAAGTGGGGCCAAGTAAGAATCAGCAGGAGGATGCTGAACTGGGTCAGGAGACTTGGTTTCTTTCTTTCTTTTTTTTTTAGGCAGTTGGGGTTAAGTGACTTGCCCAGGGTCACACAGCTAGTAAATGTCAAGTGTTTGGTCTGAGGCCAGATTTGAACTCAGGTCCTCCTGACTTCAGGGCCGGTGCTCTATCCACTGCACCACCTAGCTGCCCCAGGAGACCTGGTTTCAAATCCCACTTCCATCTCCCACTGGCCGGAGGCCCTTAGGCCAGTGGCTAGATGCCTCTGGGCCCAAGACTAGATCATTTCTAAGGTAGTTTCCAGATCTTCTAACCAGCTTCTTCCTTGTAAGAGACCAGGCCACAGGAAATTCCCCTTCAAAACAGCTCTCTACTTGGAGTGCCCAACAGCACCTCCCTCCAGGGGCTAAGGTCACTAACGGTACAGGAAAATGTAAAATCACATAGGCTTCACACTGAGCCTATAGCAACAGCAAGGATAACGCACCCAAGCGTACTGAGCAAGCAAAGTGCTCAAGTTACAATCTACTGAGACCCAAAGGCTCTCCTTGTCCTTAGCACCACCTTAAAGGAAAAGGGAGCTGTTGTAACATCTATGTGAAGGCTCCAGCTCTGAGGAGAGTAAAGATCTTAGTGGGGATCAATGAGGTAAATGTTCCGCTAACCGTGCTAGTACTCACCTGGGTATGTTCTGTGAAGAAATCAGAGTCTTTCTTTTCTGGGGAATGGCCAGGAACACTGTTCATACTATCTATCCAAAGCTACAAGGAAGAAAATAAACATCCTTTGAAGCCCAGGGCTCTGTGCTCCATCCTCTCCCCTACCTTCCGGCTCTCTACCCAAAACCAGCACTTACATCAGTGCCATACTTGGCAAGGGCAGCACTCCCCAGTTGCCGAATCTTCTCCCGATACGTCTGGGCTGCACGGCTGTTATATTTGCTGTTGGCATCATTAGTAGTACAGCCATGCTGGCGGAAGAAAGCAGTCTGATGACAGGAGAGGAGAGTAGGCAATCATGCCAAAAGTCAAAGCCCTCCTTACCAGTCCAAGCAGATGTGCCCTCCTAAGCCCCAGCTACCCTGGAGAACGAAGGCAGGCAGGTGGGCAGCTTCCAACGATGGGGTAAGAGGTTCCATTCCTCCCACCTGCCGAGATGACTAGTACACGGGCTCAGTTTTCAACCAGCCCTTTCAGAAGGCTCGTGCCAATGCACAGATTCTCCATCACTGCGGGACCTGCAGGATTCTGGGGGTGGGACCATACCCAGCCACCTCGACCAGGTATGGCAGGGGGGAACCCTCACAGCCCACCAAGGACAGTTCCCCCTGACATGCCGACCAGGCGGTGGGGGAGGAGCCTTACCGCGTTGGCATTGCCCCCGACCTGCATGCACCTCAGCTGGAACCAGCTCCAGTTGGAGTCCAACTCTGTGGACCTGAATGAAGACCACGGGGCCTGGGGTAAGGCCCGGAAGCTCCTCCCCATGCCCGAGTCCTGCGTCTGCCCTCCCTCCCCACTCCCTCGGGCCAGGCTGGGACCCCGGGCCCGTTGCGAAGGGAGGCCCAGAGGGTCCCCCCTGGCCCGGGGACCTCCGCCCCTTCTGCCCCCCCCATCGGGGCTGCTGGGCCGGGGGAGCGGGGGCCCGGGGGCCCCACCTGATGAAGCTCAGGTGGACGCCCAGCGAGCGGTGCACCCCGGAGCAGTCGATGCACAGGAAGACGCCGTAGGTGATGCTGGCCCAGCTCGGGTTCTTGGCGCCGCAGTCGAAGCACGCCTGGGACGAAGGAGAGGAGGCGGGCCGGAGGCCCGGGGCCGGTTGGCGGAGAGGACGGACCCGGGGACGAGGGGGGCCGAGGACTGGGGCCCGGGGGGCGCCGGCAGGGTCTGAGCCGTGGGGTAGGGCCCCGGGGACCACGCCGACGCCCTGTCCCCTCTTGCCCCCTCCCCGCGCCCCGACGGCCCCAGGCCTGCACCTTGTTGGTCGGGACCGCGCGGAGCCTCTTGAAAAGAGTCTGAATCTCGGTCTTGCTCGGCTCCGCCGCCATTTTCTCTCCTTCCCAGATACAACCGCGACGGACGGGTCCTACCGAGGGCCAATCCGAGGGAAGGGAGGCGGGGCAATGGGAGGGGCCACGCCCAGTCCAATGGGCAGCCGGCAGGGAGGGAATGGGGTGGGATGACGTAGTTTTCTCTGAGCCAATCAACAGCCCGAGAAAAACAACAACCCGTGACGAGCCGGCTCCGAGGCCACCCTACAGCCTATGGCAGAATTGACTAGCCTTCCGCCCCAGGCTAATCCGAGGTTTGTATTGGGCAGGGAGGGGGGAGGGGGGCGACGGGTCCTGGTTGGTCCCAAACGCGACCGCGGAGGGAAGCGGACGTAAGAAGGCATTAGCACGCCCAGGAGGCGGGACGTCTGCGGAAGTTGGGCGGAGCCAGGCCGGTTATCTGTGATGATCAACAATGAGTCCCCACGCGCCGGGGCCTGGAGCTGGGAGGGGCGCCCATCCCGCAGCTCTTCTGGAATCCTGGACTGCAGGGCTGGAAGGAACCTCGGTTTCAGCTTCTAGCAGAGCAGCGCTGCTGAATTACTCCGATGACGGGAAACTTAAACGCTTAACTACAGGATGGGGGGATGATTTATGCACAACACGCTTTTAAGTTTAATCTGCATTATTGATGTTTTCTCTGACCCGTTTTGAAGTCTAGACAATCAGCAGAACACACTCAGCCCTGCTTTGTAGCGTCTGCTCGTTTCCGAGGTACAAGGCGAAGTAAGAGGTAGTTTCTGCCAGCCTTTACTTTACGCCCCGCCCCACACCTGGGCAGCTCCTAGTGGAACGAGTGCGGACGGGCACAGCGCCTGGCACGCAGTAGGCGCTTTATAAATGCTTATTCCCCTCTCCTCTCCTGCCCCGCCCTCGCCCCCTGGCCTTCTAAGGCCAAGAAGAAAGAACAAGGCCAGACCCTTCCCGTCCATGACCTGTATACTACCATTGGGACCTCGGAGGTCATCTCTCACCCCAATTTTACGTTTTTCTCTTCTCTTAACCCCTTACATCCTGCTTTTGAATTCCCATCATTCCACCAAAGGTGCTCGATCCACAGTTCCCAGTGGTCTCTTAGCTGCCCAATCCAAAGATCTTTCCTTCTTGCCCTCTCTGAAGCCTGTGGCACTGCCAGTCACCCTCTCCTCGCTATGGTTTTAGGACACCCAGAGCTCTCTCTCACTCCCTCTCCCTGACACTCTCTCTCTCTCTCTCTCTCTCTCTCTCTCTCTCTCTCTCTCTCTCTTTCTCTCTGTCTCTCTCTCTGCCTTTGTTTCTCGGTCTCTCTTTTCTCTCTCTCTTCCCTTCTCTCTGTCTCTGTGTGTCTCTCCCCCTCCCTCTTTCTTTCCCTCTCTTCCCTTCTGTCTCTCTTCTCTCTGTCTTCCTCTCTCTCTCTTCCCTTCCCTTCTCTTTCTCTCCCACTCTTCCCTTCTCTCTCTCTCTCTCTGTCTTTCTCTCCCTCTCTTCCTTTCTCTCTGTCTCTCTCTCTCTCTCTCCTGGTTTTCCTCCTTCCTATCTCACCAGACCTTCTCTGTCTCCTTTGCTGGATCCTACCCTCAGGTCCCATCCCCTCCTCAGTCCATCCTCTATTTAGATGTCAAAGTGATTTTCCTACAGCACAGGTCTGATCATGTCACACACACACCCTGCACTTGATAAACTCCAGTAGGATCAAATAGGAAATGCTCTGTTTGGCACTCACGGCCTTTCATAAGCAGGCCCCCTCCCACCTTTCTAGTCTTATACTTTACTCCCCAACATATATACTCTTTGATCTGGTGAGCCTGGCCTCCCGGCTGTTCTTCACATACAAGAACAATAGGATGTCTTGGCTCTGGGCTTTCTTTCTGGCTGACTTCATGCCTGCATGGCTTCCTCCACCCGGCTCTGCCTGCTTACTTCCCTGGCTTCCTTTAAATCCCAACACAATTCCCATCTTCTACAGGAAGCTTCCCCAACCCCTCTCAAGTCTAGTGTCGACCTTTTGTAATTATTTCCCATTCATCCTGTCTAGAGCTTTTTGTCTATTTGCTCCTTATCTCTCCCATTAGATCGTGAGCTCCTGGAAGGCAAGGATTGTCTTTTCCTTCTATCTCTAGTGACAATGCACTTAATAGAAGCTTATTGAGTGACGGACAGATAAGGACACTGAGGCATGAAGGGCCTGCCCAGTCACACAAAACCACTTCTTGAACCCAGATCATCTGACTCCAAATCCAGGGTCTCTTCACATAGCAGCCTTTCAAATACTCCTTTGTATCCCCTCTAAATCTTCCCTTCTCCAGGCTAAACATTCCCACTTTCTCCAGGTGATCCTCCAGTCTGCACAAGAATAGTGGTGGCCCTCTTGGGATGCGCCATGGTCAGAAAAGAAAACGTAGGGTTCATTTCCTGCTTCCTCCAATTAGGTCACTCCTCGGAGGTCCCCCCAGAGCCTCAGGGATTCCCAGAGAACCAGGACTTTGGACCAGGTTTTCTCCAGGCTTCAGTAGAGCCAACCTCTCCATGAGGGGAGATTTCCATCCCCAGCTACGGCCCCCAGCCTAAGAGGCTCACATTTAGAGTTAGAAGCCCCTGGTAAGAGGCAGCTTTGGTGCAATGGGGAAAGCCCTAGGTTTGGAGTCAAAGAACTCTGGGCAAATCACTCCATTGCTCTAAGCTTCAGTCTTCTCATCTGTAAAATGGAGGGGTCAGACTCCATGATCTCCAGGGCTTAGTTCCAAGTGAATCCAAGAAATTGAAGGGCTGGGTCCACTGCAAGCTTGGCCCCATTCCCCAAGTCTGGAGGCAGTGACCGATTTCCAGTCCCAGTCCTTCCACAAACTGGCTGGGTGGGTAACCTTGGGCAGATTCCCTTTAGCATCATGGCACTGGGGCCAGAAGGAACTCCAGAGAGCTCTTATCCAACACCACTATCTCACAGGTGGAAAAACTGGCTTCAGGAGAAGTCATGTGACTCTTCCAAGGTCTTGCAGAGAGTGCAGGATCTGAACCCAGGTCCTCTGACTCCATCCACGATCTTTCCCAACACCCAGCCTCACATGTTGCTTCTCCAAGTATCATCTTCTCATCCTTAAGATGAGGGAAATTAGATTAAATGATCTCCAAGGTCTGTTTGGCTTCTAATGTTGTACGAGGAAACAGTGTGGGCAAGAGGGAAGAACACTGGATTGACAGTCAGAGAATCTAGGTTAGAATCCTGACTCTTCCAATTCCCGTCCCCTATGTGATCTGGGTTTGAATCCTGACTCTTGCAATTACTGTACCCTGTGTGACCCGGGTTCGGATCCTGACTCTTGCGATTCCTGTACCCTAAGTGACCTGGGTTTGAATCCTGACTCTTCCAATTCCTGTACCCTATATGATCTGGGCTGTCCTAGTAGGCTTAGGTTAAAATAAACTAGGCCTAGTAGGCCTGTTTTAGAGAATAACAGTTTTAGAGCTGGAAGAGATCTGAGGGCTCCTCCTGTACGATGTGGGGTTCGGACCATTGTTTAGGATGCAGTGCAGTACAAGCATTGAGGCCTGGCCTCCTTGCTCTGCCTTGCAGTCCCCAGGAGGAGCTGGGACATAGCTTCTTCATGTCTAAAAAGAGGGGGATGCGTGGGTAGATTCGATCAGTCCCATCAAACTCAACAAGACAGGGATCCCTGCAGCTGCAGACTGATGTAGAGAACCCTACATTAACATTCTCTGCGTGGCATTGGTGTAGCTTTATTTATTTTGTTCAGCATTTCCAATGACATCTTCGTGTGCTTCGGCAGGCACGGCCCTGCTGCAGGTGAGTGTGCCACATCACAGGTCCCTTCCATCTAGCCCTCACCAAGGCCTTCAGGAAGGCCGGCCCAGTCCTTCCACCTCCCCTTGCCATTCCCGCCTGCTCAGCCTGGGTACCATCCCAGCCCTCAGGGTCAGTCCAGGAATGTTCGGGCCCCACGGGGCCTAGGACTGGACAGAAGGAAGCCGGGCAATGACTCTAACATCTACTGTTGTTTCTCAGGTTTAATGCACATTAGGAACAAACCATAGGTAAAGGGGAGGAAGACCACTAGAGCAGAACTATCCCACCCCCTTGGCACAGAGAAGCTGAGTCCAAGGGCATCTCAGTTCAGGGAGCTGCAGGGAGAAGGGGGGGGGGAGGCTCAGAACCTCAGGTTCTGCAGGTTCCCGCCCAAGGTTGGAACGCATCCCTCCAATAGTCTCACCCTTTCCCAGGCTCTTTCCCTGCCCCAAGTCCCAAGAACACCCTCCCTCCCCACCAGGGCTCACTGGTCCAGCGATGGGTTGGAGGGGTGGGTGGCTGAGCCCTGACCCAGGCCGGCAGAGGGCCATCAGGCCCCCACACACTCCACATAGTTGGCAGGGTAAAGGCCAATGCGCCCACTCTGAAGCTGGCCTTGGCACCAGCCCTGTTCATCCTCGTCACTCATCTTCAGAAGCTCCTCACCTGTAGAGAAGTCACAGCATCACTGGGCGTCATCGCCCCTGGCCCTCCTAGCTTTCCCCACCCCACCCCAGTTCTGGGGTTACGCAAAGAATGTCTCTTAGAAGCGGGGCTCATAACCCCTGGTAAGGCCTGCAGACGCCTTCTCAAAATAATGATTTTAAATGCGTAAAATAAAATACACAGGTACAAAGGAAACCAGTCCCATTGACAGTCAGCAGCGTATTTTTGCAAAAGCAAGTCATAGACCCCGGTGGAGAAGCCCTGATCTATCCAGAGACCAAGGACAAGGAGCCTGGAAGCCTTACTGGCCCCTCCATCCCAGGACCCTGCAGAGCCCAGCTGGGAACCCGGGGGTCTGCTCAGCACCCAGCCTAAAGACACAGGCCCAAGGGGGAACACGTGAATCTCCTCATCTCTCTCCCCTATAGCTCAGTGAGTTGTACAAAAGCAGAAATACATTTTCCACCCTGCTGCTAGTATCCAGGGGGGCCAAAGAAGTGAGAAGGGAAGGGAGACAGGACGGCATCATGATACCTGCTCTGAAACTCAGCTCGTCTGCTTCCTGGCCGGAGTAATCATACAGCGCCCGCACTCG